CCGCCCGCGCTAGGGGAGCAGCAGCGCCCCGCCTCGGCCGCCCCAAGGGTGAGCACCTTTTACCTTTATCCGTGCTCCGTTCCAAAGGTCTGGATGAGAAGTGTTCACCTTAGCTCAGCGCGTCACCGAACGCAATAGAAAACAGTGAATTTAACATGAACCTACTCAGGGGCAGAAAACCATTAATGCAGGACGCAGTGTAAAACTGAAGAGGAGGAGGAAGAAGACGTGTTTCTTTCATTCGGCCTATATATAATTCACCGAGCAGTGAGGAATTAACGGTTGACCCCGTTGTTAGAGCCGGTTTACCCGGCCTGTGGCAGTAACTATCTCAGAACAACAGTTCTGGTCCAGATCGTTCACACAGAAAAGCTGCTGTGGTAAATGTAAATGATACCGAGCTGAGTAATGAGTCATACTGATCTGCACTCTGTTTATAAAGTTTGTGTTTTGTGTACGAGTGGCGCTAAACACCTAAACATTAGTTTTATATCTTTCTATGAGGGCTCCTCCTTCAGCTGTCAGGCTGCTAGTTAGACCCGATATCGGGTCAGGTATTGACCCGTTATGACTGACATGTCATTGGACCATACGGGCCACAGGATACTTATTGAGCAGATGAATGACTGAATTCACTTTGCCAGCAGTAGTGAAAAAGAGCAAGAGACTAGAAATTCATCACACACTCTCAGTGAGAATATGACTTTTTATTTGAGCCTGAGTCTGACATTTGATTTAAAAAACTATTGAAGTATAAAATCATGTCAGGTAGATTTGCTTGTGCAGCTCATGTCCAGTATCTGACACACACTGGAGGCCGTGATGAGTCTAGACAGCAGAGGTCTAGTTTGTTCCTTACGTGTATGAATGAAGTGAAGCTGGAGCCTGGATAGAGCCAGAGAACGGACCATGGCCCTCTGCGGACCGGGAGAACAGGCGTACAGGCCGTGGACCTTTGCGGACCAGGGGAAGGGGCCGTGGCCCTCTGCGGACCGGGAGAACGGGAGAATGGGCCGTGGCCATCTGTCAACCAGGAGAACGGGCCGTGGCCATCTGTCAACCAAGAGAACAGGAGAACGGGCCGTGGCGATCTGTCAACCAGGAGAACAGGAGAACGGGCCGTGGCCATCTGTCAACCAAGAGAACAGGAGAACGGGCCGTGGCGATCTGTCAACCAGGAGAACAGGAGAACGGGCCGTGGCCATCTGTCAACCAAGAGAACAGGAGAACGGGCCGTGGCGATCTGTCAACCAGGAGAACAGGAGAACGGGCCGTGGCCATCTGTCAACCAAGAGAACAGGAGAACGGGCCGTGGCGATCTGTCAACCAGGAGAACAGGAGAACGGGCCGTGGCCATCTGTCAACCAAGAGAACAGGAGAACGGGCCGTGGCGATCTGTCAACCAGGAGAACAGGAGAACGGGCCGTGGCCATCTGTCAACCAAGAGAACAGGAGAACGGGCCGTGGCGATCTGTCAACCAGGAGAACAGGAGAACGGGCCGTGGCCATCTGTCAACCAAGAGAACAGGAGAACGGGCCGTGGCGATCTGTCAACCAGGAGAACAGGAGAACGGGCCGTGGCCATCTGTCAACCAAGAGAACAGGAGAACGGGCCGTGGCGATCTGTCAACCAGGAGAACAGGAGAACGGGCCGTGGCCATCTGTCAACCAAGAGAACAGGAGAACGGGCCGTGGCGATCTGTCAACCAGGAGAACAGGAGAACGGGCCGTGGCCATCTGTCAACCAAGAGAACAGGAGAACGGGCCGTGGCGATCTGTCAACCAGGAGAACAGGAGAACGGGCCGTGGCCATCTGTCAACCAAGAGAACAGGAGAACGGGCCGTGGCGATCTGTCAACCAGGAGAACAGGAGAACGGGCCGTGGCCATCTGTCAACCAAGAGAACAGGAGAACGGGCCGTGGCGATCTGTCAACCAGGAGAACAGGAGAACGGGCCGTGGCCATCTGTCAACCAAGAGAACAGGAGAACGGGCCGTGGCGATCTGTCAACCAGGAGAACAGGAGAACGGGCCGTGGCCATCTGTCAACCAAGAGAACAGGAGAACGGGCCGTGGCGATCTGTCAACCAGGAGAACAGGAGAACGGGCCGTGGCCATCTGTCAACCAAGAGAACAGGAGAACGGGCCGTGGCGATCTGTCAACCAGGAGAACAGGAGAACGGGCCGTGGCCATCTGTCAACCAAGAGAACAGGAGAACGGGCCGTGGCGATCTGTCAACCAGGAGAACAGGAGAACGGGCCGTGGCCATCTGTCAACCAAGAGAACAGGAGAACGGGCCGTGGCGATCTGTCAACCAGGAGAACAGGAGAACGGGCCGTGGCCATCTGTCAACCAAGAGAACAGGAGAACGGGCCGTGGCGATCTGTCAACCAGGAGAACAGGAGAACGGGCCGTGGCCATCTGTCAACCAAGAGAACAGGAGAACGGGCCGTGGCGATCTGTCAACCAGGAGAACAGGAGAACGGGCCGTGGCCATCTGTCAACCAAGAGAACAGGAGAACGGGCCGTGGCGATCTGTCAACCAGGAGAACAGGAGAACGGGCCGTGGCCATCTGTCAACCAAGAGAACAGGAGAACGGGCCGTGGCGATCTGTCAACCAGGAGAACAGGAGAACGGGCCGTGGCCATCTGTCAACCAAGAGAACAGGAGAACGGGCCGTGGCGATCTGTCAACCAGGAGAACAGGAGAACGGGCCGTGGCCATCTGTCAACCAAGAGAACAGGAGAACGGGCCGTGGCGATCTGTCAACCAGGAGAACAGGAGAACGGGCCGTGGCCATCTGTCAACCAAGAGAACAGGAGAACGGGCCGTGGCGATCTGTCAACCAGGAGAACAGGAGAACGGGCCGTGGCCATCTGTCAACCAAGAGAACAGGAGAACGGGCCGTGGCGATCTGTCAACCAGGAGAACAGGAGAACGGGCCGTGGCCATCTGTCAACCAAGAGAACAGGAGAACGGGCCGTGGCGATCTGTCAACCAGGAGAACAGGAGAACGGGCCGTGGCCATCTGTCAACCAAGAGAACAGGAGAACGGGCCGTGGCGATCTGTCAACCAGGAGAACAGGAGAACGGGAATGGGTCGTGGCCATCTTTGGACCCGGAGAACAGGAGAACGGGTCGTGGCCGTCTGCTGACCAGGACTCCTTTTAACCGCTGTGCTGCTGCTGTGATTGTTTCCCGTGAAGCAAAGAGCAGACTGTGTTTTTATGGTTTGTACAAGTTTTTACAACTTCTGTTTGGAAAGAACATTCATTACTGAGACCTGTTGTTTGGATGTGGAGAACTCAGTTTGCTTAAATTGTTATTCACACTTTTATTCATTTCATTTGCAACATTGCACATTAATCAACCTGAAATGATGAAAAGTGTCAGAGTGAGATAATATTCCCCTGCAGCCTCTGGGCAGCTTGGTGTTAAACATGAAATCGTCTGAGCAACACGTCATTTACACTCCGACATGCAGCTTGTTAGCACTGCGCTGGTTCATGATAGAGGCTTTCTAGGGTGGAACCCAGCGTTCAGAGACAAGTGACTCCTTTTCTTAGTGATAATGATTTTAGATTCTTGAGACACAGTTGCTGTCTGTTAGTAACTGCAGCTCCAGCAAGAAGATGCTGCTTCACACACCTGTAAATTTACCTTGTACATATAGATCTGTCAAATGCAGATAGACTGTGTGTATATAGAACTTTGTTTTTATTCCTAAGGCACATTCCTTTGCTTGACTACACATTACTTCTTTACTTCTGTTCTCAGCCTTACATTGTTTACTTGCCCACTGCTACCTTACATAAGGACACGTACATACGCATTGAGAGCCGCGGTATCAGTGTCCAACACACCTGGCCAATAAAGCTGATTCTGATTCTGATTCTGATTCACACGGTCGCATCTGGATTAGCAACCTGACATGTCGTATACAGTAATACATCATCACAGGTGACTGTTTACTGCTGTTACTTCTGTACTTAAAAAGCAGCAAGCTACTGCAAAATGTAGTTAAACTAGTAGATTATTTACAGGTAGTTCACTAGTCTCAGCGGTGGAAAAGAGAGAGAGTGGCCTCAGACTTGGAGGTGCTGAAATCTCATAAATTTATTCATTATCTCTATTTGTAATCTTTTAACATGTTTTGCATTCAAATGGATGTAAATGCTGGCAGAATCCGAGTTCAGGATGGTTTTAAAGCCTGGGGCTCGAGCCTCCCTGCAGCAGGCCATGTTTACATGTCTGCGTATTGTCCTCCAGGTGGCTGTGGTGCCCTTCCCCACAGTGGACGTTCCTGACCACGCCCACTACACCATTGGCTCCGTCATCCTCGCCATTGGCATCACCGGAATGGTCGGCAACTTCCTGGTCATATACGCCTTCAGCAGGTAGGACAGCTTCAAAGGAAACTGCAGCTTCCTAAAAAACACAGACTTTGTTTTAAATTTTAATACTGATGTTTGTGCAGTTTCAGAATCTGATCGATGAATCAGTTCATGATTGATCTGCAGACAGGTTTGGTGAAAATGCTACGGAGCAACAACAAATTAGAAATCTTTTTTTTTTTAGTTTGCAGAGATGAGTTGTAACAAATCTTCGTCAACTTTAATAAGTGTTAAATTCACAAATAAATTCATTTAGATGATTAAAATAGTAAACAGAATTTAACTACATTTAAGATCACTCCTACATGAGCTATAATGTTAGGAAACAAAGTATAACAGTATAGAAAAAATAACAGATGCATTATTCAGTAGGAAAAAAAATAAAGTATCTCTGTATAAAGTACAGCATTCAAAGAAGCAAACAGCAAAGTAACAGTAGAGGAAAGAATACTCGAACTGCGAATGGAAAAAACACATCTAGCAGCTGGAGCTCTCACTCACTTGCAGCCTGTTAATTAATGTGTCAGTGAGTTTGGAACCGGCTGGTTAAAGCTGCCCTACTTTTACTGTCTGTCTGTCTCTGGTGTGCTTGGTCTGGGACTTCAGGATCCACTGGTGTGAGAACTGTCCAGGTCACGTTGTTGAAACACTGTGTGTTACAGGAGCCGCAGCCTGCGGACGCCAGCCAACATGTTTGTCATTAACCTGGCCATCACAGACCTGCTGATGTGTGTCACCCAGACTCCCACCTTCTTCGCCACCAGCATGTACAAGAGGTGGATCTTTGGAGAGAAAGGTACCGACTGCACACACATCCCACGAACATGCAGGGTGCCCCAGCCTCAACTCCTGAATCTGGATCCAACATACCTGTAAACGCTAGTCTCGTCTGCTCTGTTATTATTGTGTGGTAACGCAGCCGAGACGCCAACACAGCAGGCAGTGATCTGCAGGATGTCTTGGCTGAGAAGCTCAAGTCTGCAGCTTTGTTTGTTGTCCAACAGCAGCCAGTTTTCCCTGAGCCCTATGAATATGTACATTTTGTGTCAGCAGATGTGGAATATGACTTGGATCCAGATCAGACTTTGGAGTCTGCTAGATTTCATCCAAATCCATTTGTTACTTTTTGAGTTACTTCTGTTAACAAACCAACAAACAGCAGTGAAAACACAGCCTCCTCAGTGCGTTCATCCCCAGGAACAGTCGGTGAGGAAGAGGGAGACAGACATCTTCACCATGAACACACAACATGTGGGTGTCAGCTACACGTCGATGCTGTTAAATCTGTGCCTTTCCTTCGCTCCCTCTCTGTCTGCAGCCTGCGAGCTGTACGCTTTCTGTGGCGCTCTCTTCGGGATCTGTTCTATGATCACGCTGACGGTGATCGCTGTGGACCGCTACTTTGTCATCACACGACCTCTGACCTCCATCGGCATCTTGACACAGAAACGGGCCCTCCTCATCCTTGTGGCGGCCTGGGCCTACTCTCTGGGCTGGAGCCTGCCGCCGTTCTTCGGCTGGAGTGAGGACACACACACACACTCAGCTGAACTGTTTCTACTCTCTTTGCCACTCTCCGTACTCTGCTGTATACTCGACTTCACTGCACTCTGGCAGCATGGCAGAGCTTGTCCAGCTGACCACAATGTCACAGCTGCAGTTTTCTCTGCCGTGATCCCAACATCAACAATAAAGCTCCTGGAGTTCTCCACGAATGATTCTGATGTACGCTGGCTTGTTCCGGCACAGACTAGCCCCTGACGCTAGTGAACCTACACATTAATCCTCCAGATAAACACAACCCTCGTCTACGTGTACACGTTGATAAAAAGTGAGTACATGAGCATCAGTGTGTGATTTAAATCCTAAAGAATCCATCAACAAATAAAGTTTGGAAAAAGACTCAGAAATGTTGTGACAGTGTCCGTAGTGACCTCATTTAAGGTGACCTTCTCCGAGTAGAACAGTAAGTAAAACTGTTCACTGTGTTACTCTAATGCAACTATTGATGCATTCATGAGTGAGCACTACTTAAATGTTGCTGCTTGTATTCAACATGTTCGTTGGTTTCCTTCTGGATTTTCTTTGTAATTGAAACAACATTTAAATATCTCTCTCTGTGTGTCTCTTGTCCATCAGGTGCCTATGTCCCAGAGGGCCTGATGACTTCCTGTACGTGGAACTACATGACCTTCACCCCGTCGGTGCGGGCGTACACCATGCTGCTCTTCACCTTCGTCTTCTTCCTGCCACTCTTCATCATCATCTTCTGCTACGCCTTCATCTTCCGAGCCATCCGCACCACCAACCAGTCAGTCTGAGTGCGCTTGGTGCTAGCGTGTGTTTCCTGGGTGTGTTGTAATCAGTGAATACAGAGTACTGACAGGAACTAGCAAGAGAGATCATATCTCTCCCATATTAGCTTCTCTCCACTGGCTCCCTGTAAAATTCAGAATACAATTTAAAATCTTTCTCCTAACATACAAAGCCCTTAATGACAAGGCTCCATCGTATCTTAAAGACCTCGTAGAGCCTTATCATCCTAACAGAGCACTTCGCTCTCAGAGTGCAGGTTTACTTGTGGTTCCTAGAGTCCACAGAAGTAGAATGGGAGGCAGAGCCTTTAGCTATCAAACTCCTCTCCTATGGAACCAACTCCCAGTCTCAGTTCGGGAGGCGGACACCCTCTCTACCTTTAAAATTAGACTTAAGACTTTCCTTTTTGATAAAGCTTATAGTTAGGGCTGGATCAGGTGACCCTGAGCCCTCCCTTAGTCCCCCCATTATAATAATAGTAATAGGTCTTGCCCTGACTGTGTAAAGTGTCCTGACATGACTTTTGTTTCAATTTGATACTATACAAATCAAACTGAATTGGATTCATATTTTAATCATTTTTGAGGGGAGGATGGAAACCAGCCAGAATAATGTCACTATTGTAGTGCAGAAACCAAAAGCTTCTGCTTGCATGGAGACATAAAACGTGAGAGAAACAGTGTTTGAATCTGCTTCTTCTGACAGGCCAACTACAGGTGCGTATGTGTGTGTGTGTTTTGTCAGGGCTGTGGGGAAGATTAGCGGCAGTGTTCACAGTCACGGCAGCAGTCGCGACTCGGTGAAGGGTTTCCAGCGACTGCAGAATGAGTGGAAGATGGCGAAGATCGCTCTGATCGTCATCCTGCTCTACGTCATCTCCTGGTCGCCGTACTCCATCGTCGCACTCATCGCCTTCGCTGGGTAAAACACAGGCTGCTCACTGTACATCACATCAGTAAAACCAGAGTTACATTTTCAGTCAGCAGCCACTAAAGCAAAAGTTGAATCAGGGCTGTCGTTTCTTTAATGCTGCTCAAAGATGCCTCTGGCTGTTTTGGAATGAATGTGACAAAGCCCAGTGGTTCTTACACAAATTCAGCTCTATCAATGATTCACTTCCTTCTGATGCAGAGAAGAAGAGTTGTTTCTGAGGTAGCATACAGTATGTGACCAGCTAGCTAGTGTGGCACTAGCAGACACTGTTCTGCAGTATTAGCTTGACCCTGGCAGGTGTGTGGTCCTCTCGTCTGCTGACGTGTCCATGATGCTGACTCTGCAGTCTGATCTGTTTCCTGCTACAGGCACGCTGACATGTTGACTCCCTACATGAACTCTGTGCCCGCCGTCATCGCCAAGGCCTCAGCCATCCACAACCCCATCATCTACGCCATCACACACCCTAAGTACAGGTAACACACTGATAACCTTTTTCCTCTGGGTACATTTATGTTGCATTTCAGGTTTTTCTGCCGGGAAAGAAAACACCTCGCATAAAACATAATGGCGTAGTGCAGGACACCTGACCTTGACTGTTAAGAGATTTAAAAGCTGCAGGACAGAACAGCTTGGTACCCATCTGCCCAGTACTTCTGTGCAGTCGCCAGATACAGGCAGTGGGCACAGGTTTTGGTTTTGGTCTGCAGGACGGTACCAAACCTGGCAACCCCACTGCGACGGAAGCGATTGTATGTTCTGTAGACTGACGGCTGTAACAGTTCTTTGTTTCACTGTTTATCCTCAGTGATCAAACACACATGTGTGAAGTTTGCTGGAGACTAAAGAGAGCAGGTCAGCGTGTTTCAGCCTTTACCCGACTGGCCCTGGATGTTGGTGCCTAATGATAAAGTCTGAACCAGTGAAGTACTGACTGATGCTTCAGCGTCAACCTGTCGACCTGTCCATCTGTCTCTCCAGGGTAGCATTAGCCAAGTACATCCCCTGTCTCGGCGTCTTGCTCTGTGTTCACCCTCGTGACCTGCGCTCCACCACCAGCAGCTTCATGTCCACACGTCGCTCCACTGTGACCAGTCAGGCCTCCGACATCAGCAGCCAGATCAGACGGCAGAGCGCCGGCAAGACCCGCCTCTCCTCTGCCTCCGACAGCGAATCGGTGAGCTCTTTGAGCTGTGAAATCACATTGAGTGATGGAAACCATAAGATGTGAGAACAAACCTTCCACGGTTTGTGTGTGTCCTCTAGTTTGCGTGGTTTGTGTGTGTCCTCTAGTTTGCGTGTACACAGTGTGTGTCCTCCTCTGCAGGGTCTAACGGACATCGTGGCCGACCTGTCCGGTATGGGCTCCAGACTGGCCAGCTGCCAGGTCTCCTGTGACATCAGCAGAGACACCGCTGAGCTCCCAGACTTCAAACCTTCCTCCAGTTTCAAGTCCAAGATGAAGAGCCACGACTCAGGCATCTTCGAAAAGGTAAACACCTCTGACCTCTCAATCAAATCCATGACTCTGGTTCTTGAAGAGCGCTTCAGATGTTGTCAGAGCAGTTAGCTCTGGCTGAACTTAATTTATATGTCTGCCGGGGTCTGTGTGGACTGTTGTGAACTAAGTGGGGGTGAGGTCAAAGAGAAAGGCAGCTCGTTGAGAATGTGATATCTTCTTTGAGCAGCATAAAACTACACTCTCCAAACACTGTTCATCATTTTGTAGTGGTGTACTGAGCAAATCAATCTACTATTTCGTGCACTCAAAAATTCCACAATGGAGCGTAAAAAGTAACAGTTCCACACTGCAATGGCCAGATGAAAAACTGAGTGAACTATGGAGTGTACATTAGAATACATAGGGGCAGTGAATCAATGAATGAAGGAGTGGTTTTGAGACACAGCCTAGATGTCTTTGTACGTCACCACTTGTCACTTCATTATTTTTCACCAGTGACCAGTGCTGCAAGAAAAAAAGGCCCAAAAGAAGTGACCTTACACCATAGTGTGTGTGTATGTATGTAAAATTTAGTTGCAGGCTTACAGTACACTTGTTTGTTTTCTCTGCAGACGTCCTGTGACACTGATATCTCTACACCAGGAGTCAGTGAACACAGCAGCAACCCAAATGTGAGTACACAGCAGTGTGAAGTATTCTTTCATTCATTAACAACTGTAAACGATACAGAACAAAAAGTAGGAAACACATTTTTAAATCTGAGGTTATGGAAGCACACGTCCTCACAATAAGGCTTTATGTTCCACGTCACTGCTGCAGCTTAACCTTTTTTCATTTGTTTGTCTTTCAGTTTGTTGTTGGGAAAACATGTCTGAATTTTTCTGTCTCTAATTTATCTTCAGTTTTTTCTTTGTTCATGTGAGATGAAAACACAATGTGGTTTTCCATAAACATGCACACAATGTCCTGGTAATTACGAATCGGTGTTATGACAAGTGTGTTTCTGCGTCTGACAGAGCAGGGATGTGATGAGAAGCACGAGCGGTCGGATCCCCAGCATCGTCGTCACCTCGGAGTCCACCGCCTTCCTTCCTGTTGGACGCAGTGGTTCACGCACCGCTCACTCCAAAGCGGCCAACAGCAACACGGAGGTGGGGTCTGGCTAGAGCTCCACCTACCCCGCTGACTGCAGCAGCCAATCACCTGCAGCCAGCTGACCAGCTCATGTCCGGTCAGATATTTAGAGCTCAGACACACCTGAGAGGTTCCTCTGCAGCTCAGATACAAGCAGCGCCCTTGTTTTAGCTTTATACCTGGTGGGATTAGATGAGTAGATCCTAATTTTTACACAGATTGACACAGATTTTAATTCAAGACCAATTTCTTCCAATGAAATTACAGGAACATTTTTGCATTTTCTCTCTTAAAGAGCAACCTAACCCCCGGCTGAAGCTGGAGCACACCTTCACATAGTCAAAACAAAAAGGTTTTTAGTTTGAATGCGCTGAGTGTCTCCGCATCTCACAGGACCCACAATGGATCAGTGTTTGATTGTTGTGTCTTGTTGCTTTTCTTCTTTTGTCTCTCCTCTGGCACAGGTTTTGGTTTTGGTCTGCAGGACGGTACCAAACCTGGCAACCCCACTGCGACGGAAGCGATTGTATGTTCTGTAGACTGACGGCTGTAACAGTTCTTTGTTTCACTGTTTATCCTCAGTGATCAAACACACATGTGTGAAGTTTGCTGGAGACTAAAGAGAGCAGGTCAGCGTGTTTCAGCCTTTACCCGACTGGCCCTGGATGTTGGTGCCTAATGATAAAGTCTGAACCAGTGAAGTACTGACTGATGCTTCAGCGTCAACCTGTCGACCTGTCCATCTGTCTCTCCAGGGTAGCATTAGCCAAGTACATCCCCTGTCTCGGCGTCTTGCTCTGTGTTCACCCTCGTGACCTGCGCTCCACCACCAGCAGCTTCATGTCCACACGTCGCTCCACTGTGACCAGTCAGGCCTCCGACATCAGCAGCCAGATCAGACGGCAGAGCGCCGGCAAGACCCGCCTCTCCTCTGCCTCCGACAGCGAATCGGTGAGCTCTTTGAGCTGTGAAATCACATTGAGTGATGGAAACCATAAGATGTGAGAACAAACCTTCCACGGTTTGTGTGTGTCCTCTAGTTTGCGTGGTTTGTGTGTGTCCTCTAGTTTGCGTGTACACAGTGTGTGTCCTCCTCTGCAGGGTCTAACGGACATCGTGGCCGACCTGTCCGGTATGGGCTCCAGACTGGCCAGCTGCCAGGTCTCCTGTGACATCAGCAGAGACACAGCTGAGCTCCCAGACTTCAAACCTTCCTCCAGTTTCAAGTCCAAGATGAAGAGCCACGACTCAGGCATCTTCGAAAAGGTAAACACCTCTGACCTGTCAATCAAATCCATGACTCTGGTTCTTGAAGAGCGCTTCAGATGTTGTCAGAGCAGTTAGCTCTGGCTGAACTTAATTTATATGTCTGCCGGGGTCTGTGTGGACTGTTGTGAACTAAGTGGGGGTGAGGTCAAAGAGAAAGGCAGCTCGTTGAGAATGTGATATCTTCTTTGAGCAGCATAAAACTAGCAGGAGGAGGCCTGAATGGCGGATCACAGCCAGACGCCCACAGACTGTTTCAGACCGGCTCTTCTTATAGATTATTGCTACACTCAGACGTGGACGAGGACATGAGGGCCCACCAGAGGAGGAGAGGGGGTGTGTGTCTGGTGGAAGCAGAAACACCAGCGGTCATGTTAATCTGCTGCTCTGTGTTTTTGTGCTCTTCAATCAGTCCAATGTGCTTTTCAGCTCAGACCAGAAAATCCTCTTTTCCTTTTGATCCTAATCATTGACCGAATTCTGTCAGATGCAGATTAGACTTCTGGGAATTGGTGGTGAGTAGATGAATGGTCCTCTGGTTTCCTGCCGGCCTCGCTGATACAGATAAATCAAATTCAAATCAAATTTGGGAATATTGAACTAGTCCTAGTGTCAGGAAGTGGAGGACTTCCATCATGGCTGCCGCTGCAGGACGCTGAGTAGTCGCCCTGAGTGCTGCTCGGGGGATATTTGTTGGGTTTTCCCTCTGTAGTAATAATAATAATAATGACAGTAAGGTCTAGACCTTACTTTGTAAAGTGTCCTGAGATGACTTTTGTTGTGATTTGGCGCTATACAAATAAAATTGATTTGATTTGATTTTGATTTGATTTGATTACACAAAATGAGTGGCAGTCTGACAGAGCACTGCTCTGTCTTACCGAACATTCAGACTGAAAACATCTGTGTTTCAACAGTGCACAGGAGGAGGCCGGTGGTTAGGACACACCCCATTTATCAGCGATGTCCCAGTCAAGTTCTGTGAGCACAGATCCTGATATGAGGCCTGTAATGTTTTGTTTGCTGATACAGTGAAATAACAGCTGTGGTGGCTGAATCTAATGCACCGTACGTTTTACGAGCTCCCTAATCCAAACGTTGAAGGTTCTGATTCAAAGCCATTACATTACAGTGATATAGCCCTGGCTGCTGTCTCAGCTGGGAACAAACCATTGGGAGTCAGATGCTCTAGGTACTCGTGGAACTACCCTTCTGTGACTCCAGAGACGTTATGTAACATCTGGATGTCCATCATCTGTGGCGGTGGGTTTTGGGAACTCAGCCCTGTACCCTCAGTGCTCTGTACTGGAACCGACCCGTTATCTGTGATTACCCCTAAATCCAATCAGCACCCGACCTCCGACCTCACGGAATTTTAATTAAACATATAGACTACACAGTCAGTGACTTTAAAACTCATCCGGCTTGAGGTTCAGTGTTTTAACTTATCTGCTGTTTTGTGTAATGTCCCGTCTCATTCAGATGTGTTCAGCACTCACTCAGCCTGCTTGTTGTTGATGCAAAGTGACACAAATGCTGTGTTTCCACTATTGAAACCTAACCAGCGGTGCACCCCGTACTTTTGGGGTTGATGCCGACCGTCCTGCTTTGTTTCTCCACTGTATTTTAGATGTTTAACCAATCACCGGCGACTGCTCTGTGTGCTCGCACCCCCTCCTGCCTCGCTTTCCTGGAACTTGATTTTAGTACTATCTCCCGAGGAGGGGTGAAGTTTAGCTCCCGGACCAAAGTGGTTCGAGTGTAGTGGAAACAAACACAGAAGCCATGATGAGCATTACTCAGGTCGACACGTTTCTGTGGGTTCCTATGTTATGGAACCATCTGTCCACATATCCAGAACGACTCACTGAATCAGGTCCTGGGGTCTGATGGTTCACAGGAGCTGTGTGATATATTTCCATGTTTTGGGGCCATTGCTGCACACACACACACACACACACACACACACACACACACACACGCAGACAGATAAAGCTCTGCCCACTCATCTGATAAGGGATTCTTGGATGTCTGTTTCTTTGACTTAATTCAAATGTTTCGAGTGAACCCTGAAGCCCAGAGGCCTGCAAAGGCACTTTTGTTAATGTTGATAAAGGTTTCCCTGGTGTGGTCCACTCCGGGTTTTTCTCTGCTTGTTTTCTTAAGTGTGTATTTTGCTGCGTAGTGGGATGTGATCATGGTGTTGTCGGTGTTTGTACATGGGGTGGAATGTGTCCTAAACCTCTTGTTTATGTCAGCAGCTAGTTTCCTAATCATTCTTCTCAGCATCCGGGTGCAGAAAGCATAACATAGCTCAGCAAACCTCTGCACAGTGGTGCTGGGGATTCAGTAGCTGTAGTGAATGTTTGGTATGTTAGGTCTTGTTCATTAAAGTTTTAAAGATGAATAATTGTTGATTTCTTCCTCCTGTTTATCTCAGTAAATATCTTATTCGCTGTGGAACGTCATCATCTCTTCTATCATCACATCAGATGTAGAAATTTCATTTTAAAGGCTGTGTACATATAATCCATATTATACACACACACCTGTGAGTCTGTAAACACTAGGAGCTGTTAGAACAATACATTTTCCAGTTTGTGTTCCGATAATTAAAATGCAGACATGTCCCTATATTATATATGCTCTTGTATTTTTTATTCCCTTGATGCACTGTAAGACAGTTTTGGCCTTTTTATTTATGAGATAATTAACTTCCAACGTACTGAGCAGATTTACTAGGCCTACATTTGAATTCTAACACTAAATTGGTTTAATCAGCAGCTGGAGACTATTTCAAACCCTCCAATGCAGTACAACAGAGTAAAACTGTATTTTAATGTTTGTCACCAGACTCTGACTTGGAGCCTCTGTAGCAGTTCAGCAGTTTTATAAACGGGGTTTCATTTAGTGGCTCTGCTTAAAAAGGGGAAAGGAGCTCAAACTTTTAGTACTTAGCACTTTTAGTATTTTGTTACTTTTTAGTTTGAGGCATCCTAAACTATTCCGTTTATTTATTTACTGGCTCCACAGTGCGTGGGACTGTGCAGGCTCTGCTGCCTCTTTAAATAAAAACCCTGCTAATGAAAAG